CCCCCTCCCCCTCCAAAAAAAAAAATCTCTCACAGATACCTCCTATAAAGGAGATATGAGTAGAACACTATTAAAAAAACAATGTATCAACAATAAAAATAGCAACGGAAAAATTCACTCGCTAATCAATGAGGGATCAATGAGGGTAATTGCTTTTGATCAGATCCCTCGCTAATCCATCGCTGAAAGTTCCTTCGCTAATCCGTCGCTGAAAGTTCCCTCATTGATTCGTCGTTGGTTCCTTTGTTGATCCGTCACTGAAAGATCCGTCGCTGAATCTGTTCCCTTGCTGATCCGTCGTTGAATTTGTTTTCTCGCTGATCTGTGGCTGAAAGTATCCGCTATTAACCTGTCACTAAATATTGTTGGAGAAAAATTATTCCGACCATATTTTCGACGGATTTAAAAATTTAAAATTTAATAAAAATAATTAACTTCAATTACATTAAATTACCAGTGAATTTTCAATTAATTTTTTAAATTAAATTAATGTAATTAAAATTAATTATTTTTAAAAAATTCTTAAAAATAAGATTTCTATATTTTCCGACCGATTATCGACGTCCAGAAAATCAATTATTTTTCTTTTTTAGATTTCTTAAAATAAGATTTTTACTTTTCACGGAAAATGTAGAAAAACTATTTCTTTTAAATTTTAAAATATTAAAATAAATAGGGTTACCGGTGGATTACGGCCGATTACCAGCATCCATCGGAAATACTACTTTTTTTTTAAAATTAAAAAAAAATGTTTTTGACAAATTATCAGTGGATTTTTAACGGATTTTTTAAAAAATGTCTTATTCGTTTTCTTTTTCCCCATTTTTTAATGGTTTAGGTTTTATATGCATGTAAAATATTTACATATATACCACATAGTACATATAATGGATTATTATTCTCTTATCGAATCCAATACACACACATACATGTATACAACACATATCTACATACAAATATGTAAATCCGATATCATTGTTATTATCAGTTTTTAATAAGTTACAAAATGGTCTTATTGGGCTTTAACCGGTGTTAGTTGAGTCCAATACACACCAAATACATATATATATAATACAGGTCTTCTCACAAACATGTAATAGGTCACCAATGATCATAAAATGATCTATTAGACTTAAATAGATATATTGAGTTTTATTTGAATTCATTAGATTTTACTAGATTTATTGGGTTTTATTTCGTTTTATCGGGTTTTAATAGATATTATTAGCCTTTAATGGATGTTAGTTGAGCTTTACTAGTTCTTATTAATAACATAATTATTAAAAAAACACAGTTTAGTTAGAATGACATACAAGAGTTTTTTTTTGCAATATACACATGGGGTTTTTATACAGCCACGTAAAATTTTTCTTTTTATATTGTTATTACCAATTTTTTTTATAAAAGATTCAATAAAAATGACATTACTGGTAAACTACAACAATATTTTATAATTTTAAGGAGTACACGTTAAATTAAAGTGGACGCACCTTTAAAGCCCTTATAATTTTCCATCGATAGAGCGGGTGCATGTCTGTCCCCTATGGCTTTTTTATATCGCGTATGGGTAATTTGTGGAAGTCCCTATAGTTGTTGCTGACGAAAGGCACAGATAAAAGGTCCAAGCTTTTCGTCATGAATGATTTGAAGATGAAGACTGACAATCATCGAATATCTGACGCACTACTCGTAAATGAAAATGTGAGGAAAATCGTAACCCTAATAGGAATGCATTTGCTAAAATGATTATAAAACAAAACCCTAATAATTTTGTTGAATATATTTGACCCGCTTTATTTTTAGTTACGCAGAAGTTACTAAGATCAAATATAACTTAAATGAGCCCATTTTCAAACGAAATTACCATTTTTAATGAAACTTATAAAATAAAATTAACAACCACAAGGGTGGTGCCTGATTGGTTTGAGCTTGACTCCAAAGATCAAAAGTACTTGGAGGTCGTAGGTTCAAATCTAATGAGAAATAAAAATCCCCTTATGGTCACGGAGGTTCAAATGAGTGACTTCGAGCTATCTTTAAAGCAATGGTCATCCTAAAAGTAGTCGGTTCGCATAGCATGTTATTTTTGATGGTATTATACAAACATGGTTTCTTGATTTAATAAACTCCATATAAAACTATTATTTAATAAATAAATAAAAATTGTTTTGACAAGCAAGTTGCATGTGGCATGCACGTGAAAGAACCTTATTTCTTATCTTACGTACATATATGAATTGAATTATTTTATGGAAAATTGAATTCAAAAGCATGTGACACACTTGTCTATATAATCCCAAACCCTTTCTTTCTCTTTTTTCACATCACAAAACACTCACAAGTTTCTTCACAAAAATGGCTCAAATTATTCTCTCTTTCATGGTTCTCTCCCTCACTTTTTTCGGGTTTTCGGCCACGGTCGAGTCTCGTTCCAGTGCACGGGTGTACCTCGAGGCACAATGTCGATCAGTTGTGTACCATGATCTATGTGTCAAAACGCTTTTACCGTATGTAGGAAAGGCTGTACCAGGTCCACAACAATTAGCTAGAATTTCAATGGCAGTCTGTCTGTCGAAGGCTAGGCTGACGAAGGCGTATGTGAACATGGTGGCCAAGAAATTTAACCAAACGAAGAATTTTGGAGACTACCAAGCTGTGGACGCGTGTTTGAATCAAATCAGTAATGGAGTGAACCAAATAACGTTATCTGTGAAGGAGTTTCAAAAAATGGGAAAGGATGGAGAACAGAATTTCATGTTGCATGAAGGTAACGTGCAAAGTTGGGTGAGTGCTGCTCTAACGGATGCTGATATGTGCGTAGATGGATTATTGGGAAATGGGATCGGGGGTAGGGATAAGGCAATGATCAAAACAATGATCTTGAACGTGAAGCAACTTGCTAGTAATTCGCTTGGGTTGTTTAACCGATTTACAATGAGACATCGTGCCTCTCGTATCGTCAAGAATCCGTAAATCTAATCAATACACATATATATACGTACACACATATATACATAATATATTAAACAAGTTGTTTTATTAACGTAAAGTTAGTTCATGTCATCCCATTTCTTTAATGTATCGTGTAATTGGAAGTATACACATATTTGTAATCTTCGATGGTAATTGTGAATACCAAGTAATGAGAAATATGCAAATCTTATAAAGCTTTTGTATTTGTCTTATCTCTCTCTCTCTCTCTCTCTTTTATATATATGGTCAGGTTCATACGATAACAGTAAGCGAATAAGAAAACGACTGAATCATATGTGATTTTGCACATGATTTGATCGTTTTCATTTTCGTCTTTTCTCTCTCTCTATAATATTTTTATTATATTATACAATACTGGCAACTTATAAATACTTTTAAACTTTATAAAACTAACTTATAACCAATTGATAAGCATATTTAAATACAAGATAAACATTGAGTCTTATAAATACAATAAAAGGTTCATAAAACCCGATAATCAACAACAAAATCTCTTAACTTTCTCAAAACTATGTAAATTTATAAAATAAAATAAAATCCAAACAAAATGAATATTGTTTTTTCCCCCAAAAAGAATGATTCGTTAGGTTTTTTATTAAAGAAATAGGGCCATGACTACGAGAGACTTTGGAGTTGTTTGATTTCCTTTTAATAGTTTCATTAAGAGACAACATTTGAATCGTTAAGAGGTGAATCTCCTTTTAATGGTTCTAAAACTCTCTGAATGATTTTGTATCCTGGATCTCCTTTAACTATTAAGAGCCCTAATTTCATTGTACACAATTACCAAATAATTATATTTCATTTTGCACTGAGAGCCTCTTAATCATTCTGATCACTTAATAATTCTTCACAAAACCATTCAGCAATCGACAAACAACGTCTTCTTCCCTTCACCCCCAAAAAAGACCCCCAAAGTTTTGGATTTGTTGAAAGTAACCCTATACAATTTTGAATTACTGTTGAGACCCTAAAGTTATAACATAAGGTTTTTCCTGTGTTTTTCTGCAACTTCTTCAAGACAAAGCATAGCAGCGCGGGAAGAAGAAGATCTTCGCTTTAATGGCGGCAAGAGAGGTAGAAGATATTGTAAAACCGTCGGTTGCCGGTGAAGAATTAGAAGAGGACGATGAACACGATTCGAAGGAGGTGTTTCTTCAGAGATATTTTCTACAAGAATGGAAGCTCGTCAAGTCTATTCTTCATGACATCGTTTCCAATGGCCGAGTCGTAGATCTCTCTTCCGTCCACAAGATCCGATCCATTGTAAGTTTTAATTACTCACTCTCATTTCAGATTTCTGTTTGGTTGTTACGCAATTCGGATTTAGTTCGAACTTTAAGCTGAGTTTCACTAATCATGTTTAGGATAAATCCTTAACTATGTTAGAACTGTGTGTAGCACCTTAGTTTATTTGTTGGCTGCGTGGTTGGTGGTACTTTTATGTTTTCTCAAAGAACTTTTGACACTGGTTGAAAACGAGCGGCATTTTATGTTCATTCATTCGCATCTCAGTTTTTCTAGTTGGTAGCCTTTGTAATTGGAGTTGGAGCTTGTTCAGTTCGAACTTTAAACTGATATTTCATCAATTCATGTTCAGAATGAATTCGTAACTTCATTAGAAGGGATACTATCTTGCTAGCACCTTCTTTTAGGCATTAGTTGTGTGGGTGATGGTGTTTTAATATCTAATTGGGGAAGTATTATCAATGGCCAAAACGAGCTGCATTCTTTGTTCAATTACTCATTAGCATTTCAGATTTCAATTAGATAGTGCTCCAAATTTGAATTGGAGCTTTTTTACTTTGAATTTTAATCTATCACCGTTTAATGTTCAGAATAAGTTTATTAGATGGAATATTATCTTCATTATAAAGTATTCCAGCAGTTTTGTAGGATGCAAACAAGAAAATTTGAGTCTTTTCTGTTACACTCCTGGGTGAAAAAGAGATATAATGTGATTTTCATGTGTGGAAATTTATTGATGTTTTTCATTGTATACAGATGGACAAATATCAGGAACAAGGACAACTGTTAGAACCATACCTGGAGAGCATAATCTCTCCTCTGATGCTTATTGTTCGTTCTAAGACAATTGAACTAGGCATAGAGTCCAAGGAACTTCATGAAATAATCAAGCCTTTATGTATTATAATTTATTCTTTGGTCACAGTTTGTGGCTATAAGGCTGTCATCAGGTTCTTTCCTCATCAAGTTTCTGATCTAGAACCAGCAGTGTCACTTTTGGAAAAATGCCATGGCACAACTGCAGGAACAGCACTGCGGCAAGAAAGTACTGGTGAGATGGAGACCAAATGTGTGATACTCTTGTGGCTATCAATACTTGTCTTGGTTCCTTTTGATATATCATCTGTGGATACAAGTATCACGAATGGTCATCCTCTTGGTGCCAATGAACCACCCCCCTTGGTGGCTAGGATATTAGAGATCTCAAAGGAACACCTTTCCAGTGCGGGTCCCATGCAAACCATAGCTGGATTGCTGCTTTCAAAGCTTCTAACACGTCCAGATATGTTGCCTGCTTTTACCAGGTTAGTTGCTCATCAGGACTCAGATGTTATTTAATATTTATCATGTATTGTAAAACAATTGTGGACAGAAGTTGCAACCACAGATGCTAGACTCGTCTAAAACTTAGTTTAGACTCATCTACCAACTCATTGTGGCTGACCGTGTTTTCCTTTCTAGCCATGCATCTTTGCCCGACAGTAAAACCTTTCTGTCCATTGTAGTTTTGGTGTTTGAGCTTATTATACGTGGCATCTCGTTTGAGCAATGTCTCATGCTATAAATTGGAGATGGTCAAATAGCTGTTCTGTACAACTCTTGCAATAATACAGGTGGATGCTGTTCACATAAGGTTCTAAAGGCACCTCTCTATGTGCAAAGCTATCCTCAATAATGTGATTGAATTGAAAAAATATGCATTCTCTAGTATCTTCAATGCTTCATTTGAGTTCCTTCTGCTTCTATACAACACTTTCAAAAAGCTAATTTTGAGTTTTTACTACTTATACTTACTTCCAGTTATAAAATACAAATGTTAAGATATTATAACATGCTTTTTCACGTCTATTTTAAGGAGTATCTTGAAGATTCACCAAAATCCATTTTGCAGTTTGCATTAATGCGATGATACCATTTTTTCTTTGTGTTATGTCATTGTGTAGAAACATAAGGATTTTTTTGATTGTCTTGTTAAGCTGACATCCAATATGAATTTTATTTATTTTCAGCTTTATTGAATGGACTCATGAAGTCCTGTCTTCTGCCACAGAAGATGTAATACATCATTTCAGATTACTTGGTGCAGTAGAAACCCTTGCTGCTATTTTCAAGGTCTGCTTTTGATATTTATTTATGCTATTGTGCTCAACTGTTTCTTTAGTAGCTATTCATCTGTAAGATGTTATTATGCCATGTAAACTAGAAAACTTCTCATTTAGTCCAGGAGCTTCTGTATGGAAAAATGCAATATAAAGCTATTCTGTTTTAATAATATGAACCGTGAAATATATTAATCCATGATGATGATTTTAACACATTTTTGGGAGATGAACTATAATATCTCTGAAGATTGTTCCATCTGTAAGACACATAATCAGGCAGGTCTGTAATTTAGTGTATTGAAGTTTGAGACACTTTTACAATTTAAATGGTGGAAGATAATTGCATGGATGGTTTCCTCTTCCATATAAAGGCTATAAATGTGGGGATGCAGCTTGTGATACACGAATATGTGGATTCACAAATTCTAGAGAAATTGAAATGATTTGGGGCTGTGTTGATATGCATGTGTAATATTAAAGTCTAAAACTAAACAATAAAAGTAAAATTGTCTCCGTAACCCGTATAGGAAGTATATAAAATAAGCACATATATATAAACCTTATACTGCCTTTACTTGGTCTGCGCATAACAGTCTAAAATACCAATGAAAAAGAATTGGTGGTGTAACCTTTGCCTCGCCTCCTATCTCTCTGTTTCAGGCATAAGCAGTTTTACTTTATAATTTTAGCTTAAATTGTTCAGTTTGTAATTTCATATTTCTATTATGTCCAAAATTACCCTCTTCTAGCACCAATTATTTATCCTTCTTTATTTGTGTCAATAATGCCGTTCAATGTGCACATCCAGAGAACTACACTAAGGGAATAAAACAGTCGTTGTATGTTCTTTCGAGTTAAAGATCACACAATTGTACCAATATCCAAGCCTAGTATAGTGACTTATATATATACCTTACTCCTTGCCCAGCTGTTTTTTTTTTTTTTTGTTTATTTTACAGTTTGTTGAGCTTGCCTTCTGATCTCTATGTTAGACTGGAAGCCGGAAAGCATTACTTGATATTGTTCCTGTTGTTTGGAATGACACCTCAGTCTTGATCAAGTCTACCCCTGCAGCCCGTAGTCCCTTACTTCGCAAATATTTGATAAAGCTAACACAACGAATGGGGCTTACTTGTCTACCTCATCGCGCAACTACCTGGCGCTATGTGGTAAGAGATTTTGACTTCTGTTCAGTTGTTATTTTTTAACAGCATGTGTCCGCACTGCAGTTTCTCTGTTATTTCTGTGGTCAATGACTTCATAATTTACTTAAAGAACATAGGAGGAAGATGGAGTTCTGCTCTAATATTGCGTTCTCTTCTTTAAATGCAGGGTAAACACAGCACACTTGGAGAGAATATATCACAAAGCGCATCACGAACTGATCCATGCAGTCATGTATCAAATTCTGGCTCATCCAATTCAGACCATGGCTCCTTCCTCCAAGAGGAAGAGATGGATGTTCCTGATATTATTGAAGAGATCATCGAGTTACTATTGTCTGGATTGAAAGATACGGTATGTTTATAGGGTAATATTTTGTCATGGACTTGCTCTTAAAAATGGCTTGATCGAGAGGAGATTCTAAATCGGTGTATCATAGTTATTTCAAGAACCAAATCAGTTTATAATTTTTATTTGTTTTGCTTTCAGATAATCATTTTGATGTTTAGATGTAATAATCATATGTATTGTGTGAATGAAAGACCTGTGATGAGCTTTTCCCACCTCCGTTAGTAGGAAATGGCTAAAGCAAAGTATATCATGTTGAAAGAATTCAACTGATGCTACTATCTTTTATAAATCACTCAACGATTTGTAGGAGTAAAAAGCTACATGTAAAGAATGAGGTTGATAGGCCTTTCCCTGTTATGGCCTATGGACTTCTCAACATTTCTGATCCTCATATTTCAGGATACTGTTGTTCGTTGGTCTGCTGCAAAAGGTATTGGACGAATAACTTCACGACTCACATATACCTTGGCAGAGGAAGTCCTTTTGTCTGTACTAGAACTGTTTTCACCTGGTGAGGTATGGCCAACATCCATGCATATTTTTGTTTTTTGTTTAGTGGTTTCTGTTTGACTTGTACCTCATTATTATTAGTTACTTGTAGAATCACGACCCATTCATATCGAGTTTCATTTATCTTGCAGGGTGATGGATCATGGCATGGTGGATGCTTAGCATTGGCAGAGCTGGCACGTAGAGGGTTGCTCTTACCTGTTAGCCTTCCTAAAGTTGTACCTGTTGTTGTAAAGGTTCTGTGCAGTTCTTGTTTCTTGTCAATACTTATTTCATTTTGCTAACAAAATAGATTATGTTGTGAAGATTCTGAGAGAAAGTGATGAATATTTGAACAGTGTATACACCCTAATATATATTAACAGACTCATGAAATATAGCAACAACTGACTTCCTAAAGTTAAGGGTTCTGATACTATTTGGATCTGCTACATTCTGATATGACCAACACCACCTAACATATTGTGTTTCTCTATGTACAGCAATACAGCAATACAGCATTGTGTGGTTGTTTCATGATATGCACATCTGAAAGTATGATTTGTGATGGTCTGTCTGGCTTCATCTTATATAACCATCAATTTTCTTGTTTGCAGGCACTTCATTATGACGTACGAAGAGGTCCCCATAGTGTTGGATCTCATATTCGTGATGCTGCTGCTTACGTTTGCTGGGCATTTGGTCGTGCATATAATCACACTGACATGAAGAGCATACTGGATCAACTTGCGCCACACCTTTTAATAATTGCCTGTTATGACCGTGAGGTGCCAGCAACACTTTTGCATGATTGATCCGATGTGCATGTTTAATCCAGCTCATGAAGAGATCATATTTGAAACAAATGTTGCAGGTTAATTGTAGAAGAGCAGCTGCAGCTGCTTTTCAGGAAAATGTTGGGAGACAAGGAAATTATCCTCATGGAATAGACATTGTGAATACAGCTGATTATTTTGCACTTTCTTCGCGAGTAAATGCTTACCTTCATGTTGCTGTCACCATAGCGCAATATGATGGCTACCTCTATCCGTTCATGGATGAACTTCTATCTAACAAGATTTGTCACTGGGTATGTTCTTTTCTGCAATAACTTGTGGCTTGCTGATAACTATTGCTGCTAGATGTTCTTGGACTCTTTAAGTAATAGTTGTTACTTATCTGGCAACTAGAATGCTTTGTTCTACCAGAGTTTGCAGAATGGAATCTCTAATCATTGTAGATTTGTTGTATTAGCCGTTGAACCTTTATGAAGTGAGATTTACCTTCTAACTTGATATATGGGATGTAATTGTTGATCGATGGGCGACTGTTGATCGACGAAACTCTCGGTTGCCATCGTTTTGAAGCGACAAACACACACTAATGAAAGATGCAAGAAGTCTACAAGTATGAATTCTGGAAATGATCTTTATTAAAGTATAGATACACACTTTCAAATATTTGACAGCCAATACATATATATAGATTGTGAAACGGTGCATTCGAACCATTGTGATGGTTCAAAATTAACTACCAAATCAGTTAGGTAACTGCCTTTCAACCTATGATGTGTCACTTGACACATTTATTAATTACATAGTAATTAGTAACATATTCTATAAAACGTAAGTGACATTTAAATTCCAACATTCCCCCCTAAATGTCAATACGTTTTATTCCTTCATGCTTGCTGAGTCTTCGAGCTTCAAATGATGATGACAAAGTCATCTTCTTCTTCAATGCTATCACCAGCCCCTTCTGGTCCGTCTGAGTAGTATTCAACAATGCGGTCTTCTTTCTTGCTTTCTTCAATACTTTGTGATGTGCATGCTTTGGTTTGATCAGTTGTCACCATTCCTGCAGTGTTGTGATCTTCCTTCCTTCCAGGTTGATCTTTGCTTTTGGTTACTCCACCATCTAAGCCTTCACTGCCATAATCAATCATACATCCTGATTGATCATGATTCATGTTGGTTACTCCACCAACACCTTGTTCTTCAGTACTTGGTAACTTACCAAACCTTTTCATTGCAAAATCATAATGTTCTTGAGGATGTAGCAAGTATTGTTCAAATAACTTGTTGAATGCTTGATCATAGCATTCTGGAAACCCGAAGCCCATTGCAATCTCCTTCCATTTTCCTTCTCTTGATATCATTTCATGTCTTCCTGATCCAACAATTAGTTTATACAAGTCGAATAGACAAATTTTTATACCTGCCAATTTTGGAGGGAGTGCAATTTCCTCTCCACTTTTGATCTTGTGAAACCAAGTAAGTGCATCTTCAAACCTTCTTGTGAACAACCCTTTGTTCTTATAAGCAATGCGATTATAGTTAACCAAAACCATGAAAGCAGTGAAGTCATCAAAGCTTTTTATGGTTATACGTACCGATTTTCCATCGATATTGAATTCATCTTCGGTTATGTTTTCGCTTGCTTCATGTTCGTGTATTTGCTGCGATTCAGAATGGTTTTCTCCAAAGATCCTTGGGTCAGATTTGGTAGACTTGTTTTGATCATCTCCTTCTTCTTTCCGATCATCACACATGTGCGTAATCTTACATTTCGAGTCTTTGACTTAAATCTCGAATCCTTGTAATATCAATTGTTTCATGCTCAACACATTGATGTTGATTTCCGGTGCATGAGAAACATAGGGGACAGTATATGATGTCTCTTCTGTTGTTAATTTAATTTCTCCAATACCGTGTATTAGGAGTGGATTAAGATGATGTTCTTCATTGTTGTTGGAAAAACATTTCTTAATCTTAACAAATATATCTCTGGAGGGAGTCATATGTTTAGAAATTTTTGTATTAACATACCAGATAGAGTTCCAAGATCCTGTGTCGGTTCCTTCAACTAAGTAATCCCCATTTATGATGACCCTTTCAATGTGTGTTTGATGATATGGCTGCAGTGGACTGAGTGTTCGATCAATTTGATCACTGGGCTTAGAAACATGATCAAATTTGCCTTGTACTAATTGCTTTTCAGGCAATCGACTTCCTTTCTTTGGACAATCCCATGCAAAATGACCCTTGTCATTGCACCGGTAACATGTCGGTTTCTTTGATCGCGTGACTTTTTCACTAATTTCCCAACCACGAAGAAGATTTGCAAGTTCCGTGCTTCGTTTAACACATTGTATCTTTCTGATTTGATGCAGTCTTCGAACAGCCCCTGTATCCTTTTCCCTTCGAACAGTTTTTGTGTTCCTTTCCCATCGATCAGACCTTCTGTTCCTTTCTCTTCGATCACACCTTGGGCTCTGATACCACTGTTGATCGATGGGCGACTGTTGATCGACGAAACTCTCGGTTGCCATCGTTTTGAAGCAACAAACACACACTAATGAAAGATGCAAGAAGTCTACAAGTATGAATTCTGGAAATGATCTTTATTATAGTACACACTTTCAAATGTTTGACAGCCAATACATATATATAGATTGTGAAACGGTGCATTTGAACCATTGTGATGGTTCAAATTAACTACCAAATAAGTTAGGTAACTGCCTTTCAACCTATGATGTGTCACTTGATTTTTTTTTAATTACATATTAATTAGTAACATATTCTATAAAACGTAAGTGACATTTAAATTCCAACAGTAATTGACTTCATTTGATGGCTATGGGACTTCTGAAGTAATTTTTATCATGGATATCTATCGCTAATGTTTATCTCTGTGTCTTGTATATTTTTTCCCTATTGTTGGTAGTTTTGAGCATTTACCTAACTCACAACTACTACTTCAGGAAAAAGGATTGAGAGAACTTGCCTCAAAGGCTTTATCCACTCTTGTGAAATATGATCCGGAGTATTCTGCGAATTTTGTGCTTGAGAAATTAATCCCATGTACTCTCGCATCTGATTTATGCATGCGCCATGGTGCAGTATTGGCAGTTGGTGAGCTTGTATTAGCTTTAAATAAGTACGGTTATGCTCTTCCAAAAGGTTTGTACCCTTTGCTCTTTTGAATCCATGAGCTGTCATTTAAATATATGCAAATTACTACATTCTTGTAAACAGTACTAGGTTCATGTGTTATTTCTAAAAAATTCTGGTGCTATAACACAAGTCTGTCTTAGATATGCATACATCACCTAATAAGGTCATACACCTAGAGTTCGTTATTGAAATATATGTTAACTTACAGGCATGAAACATCATAGAAGAGTACACATTTCCCCTTTTTTGTCGATATATCTTATGGCTAATTTTTGTCCCATTACACTCAACAAGGTTTTGATGTTACTCTCTGATAGGGATCGTGATCAAATAGTTAAAGGAGAGAAAGTATTAAAAGTCTATACTAGGAGGGCTAAAAA